CGTTGCTTGTTCTATTTCCTTGGATACCTGACGGCAGCGCTTACGCTCGTGGCCGTTCAGGGGTTTCCTTTTACTTTCGAAGGTTGGGTGAATAAAAAACTGTTTCTTTTGTTATAAATTTTCACAGAAACAGCGAAGAATGTCAGAAACATCTCAAATGTGTAAATCTAAGCAGGCAGTATGTTTGAGCATGGCTTTATTATAGTATTATAGACATGTTTACGCAGAACGGAACTTGGAATGTTTTCAAATTACGTCACCCAGTCGCGTTCCTTCCGGCCTGAAAACCGGCCCAAATGGAACAATATGGCGATTACTAGTTAAGTACCTGCGTCCTACCTGCCATTCGCAAAGGACGCCGGGAACCAGCGAAGTTCCCTGCCCAAGTTTTCACCGCTGAGGGCTCAAAGAAAAACTGGTCGATTTCACGACGAAAACCGCGGAAAACTACAGCAAAATCCCCGCGTTTGCCGCCATCTTGAATAAGTTATCGTGACGTCACAAGGCGTCACAGTTTTCCCATTTCACGCAGTTTTCGTCGTGAAAACGACCAATTTCGGACAATCGCCCTCAAAACAATTGATGAAATAGTTTCGGGACCCATCGACAGTAGAAAAGTAGAAACTTGAGGCGAAAATAATGAAAAAAAAACGGCTGTTACGGCCCGACCTGATTTCAGGTCGGTAAAATATGGTAACTCGCATAGGATGGAACTGTAGCTCCCTGGTTTCGCGTTAACACCACGACGAACAAAATAACCGACAGCGAAACCAAGCGAGCTACAGAACTGCAGCTAGATATAATTAGTCCCTTTGCAAGGGAAGAAACCATTCAGAATGAACATTTGGACGCAAAACTGATTTTCATATCAAAGTAGCGCAGCAAGTGTTGAGAGAATATGCTGCCACACTTACAAGGCAAGTCACACATCGGTTGCCAGGTAAGTCACACATCGGTTGCCATGGTATATACAATTGACCTCGGACGATTCCATTCATTCTGAACCTTCCAGTCTCCATTATGTAACACGTAATGCTGTGACAAATAAGTGAAGAACTAGGTAGAACTGAAAACCATTGAATGATCTGATTCACCTTATTGCTCATTTATTATGCTTATTATAAAGCCTAATGGAAGTCTTTGATTATGAATATATTTCCAGACGTCTAATGAGACTAACCCAGGGACCCAGGTCAACTATAAATAAAAATAGAAAAACCAATGTAAAGTGTAAATATGGGTATAAAGGTTGATTTATCCAGCTGCCACTCAGACTGCAAGGTCGATGGTGCGTAGATTAAATATTTGTTGGTGAGTAATCAGAATGGAAATTTAACGTCAAGCTTTCTACGAAGTGATGACTGTAAAATTCCACTAACGGAAGTGTCGACCGCCTATTAGTAACAAGAAGCGTTGCTATATATACACACAGCTCGCAGTGGAAGCAACATCTACAAAAGGTGAGTTCTAGTGCAATGGGATTTACTCCCAAAAATATCATTTCATTTATTTGAGTAATTTAAGTAATATTTTTGCACACTTAATTAATATATATTGCATATAAATTCGCTAAATAAAGCATAAATCAAACTGTTTAGACCCCTTCCTACGCAGTCCCAAACAATGACTTGTGATTTAAGCTTGCCACCAATCATTTCACTGGTATGCCTGGGTCGATTTCATTTAAATTTTCCATTGATATCACTGTTTCCAAGTTTTCTACTCGTTTTTGAGACACCCTTTTCCAGATTTTCACAGAAGCAAGACATTATGGGTTGCATTTGCCTTTGGTAAACATTTGACAAAACTCCTCATGGCGGAAATATTGTTCTAAACGAATAAAACCACACAAGCTTCTCGGGCATGCCTGGTCCAATTTTCAATGTTCTTTAATCAGTAGTGTTTTATTATTTTTGGAAAAGTGTTTTTCGGAGTAATTAATCACATTTGATGAAAAGTTATTACATTATATACTTAAGAGGACATACACGTTTGATCAGTTGTTTTTTATTCATATGACTTTTATGGATTGATGCAGCAAACATCATGCCACCAGTACCAAAATTGAGTGAAGAGGCATTGGACAGCCTGGAACATAAACCCCAAAGGTAAGGTTTACGGCATATATGCAACTTTCTGATGTTTTATTATTTGTCAGATTCAAAAACATAATCAACGTGAAATTCGGCCTTACAAATTAACATATAAGAACAACTATACACGGGGCTAAGTGCTGTTTGGAAAAATTTGATGTTGGTAGAGGGTGGTGGAGGGTGGTGGTGGTTTCACCAGAGCATTCTAGTATTCCAAATGTATGATATGTTATTTTAGTTTCAAGTGAACATTATTTGTAGGTTTGATTAAACATTTTTCATGCATACGATTATTAGTTCATGAAATTGTGGAATGTGTCCGGGTGCTATTAAATTATTCGTAATACATTTTATATAAATATAAAGCCGACTGGTCAGTTATTCTAGATGTATGTGAGGTCGATTTTTTCTTAAATACGCCTACGCATATTTGCTTTTCACATGAAATGAGGTCACCATCAATTTAGTTTTGCTCATGGCTGTCTGGCATGAAAACAAATAAGAAATTGGTGAACACCTGCATAAATCTTTAATTTGCATAATTTGGTCAAAATACAATCAAAAAAATAATAATACAAGAACATGCTCTTCAAATAATAATAACTAGATAAGGAATGATTTCGCCTACTCATATAAAACACCAGTCAAATAAAAACTATTTAGCGAATCACTTCTCTTTCAATTTACTTCCATTTCCCCTTGTTCCACCAAAACACAAATAATCAAACTTCTCGGCTCTCCACAAATAGATCAATATAACAAACATTTTCTGCATATTTCCAAAACCAAGCCATTGCACTGACGAGGAATTCCAGTTTTACATCGTTGTATATCACCACAAAAACGGTCAAACGTTTTTTTAATTACAGCCAAAACCAATTTAAGAGAAAAATGAAAACCAACAATTGAAAATAGTCCGAACAGATGCGCCTCTTATGTGCGGGTCCTGGCATGTCACAAGCATTCCGTGTAAACAATCGGAAGCCGAATATAACTCACAAATAGTGTGACCTCAATTCACGTGAAAAGGTGTGGAAGTTAAACTCAATACATTTACAGGTGTACATTTCATAAAAAAAGCTACACCCTCAACCAATCAAAATCCAAAAAATACTGTATGCCATTTTTTTGCGATTATTCAAGTAAAGCTGAGGTTGAGCTGTTTATATTATATCACACTAGTTAGTAGCCAATATGTCTACTGGTGTATAGCCAATAAGTCATTAAAATGATTTCATAATATACCAGTGTAACTAAACAGATTATAACAACTAACAACTCAAATAATGCATATACATATATGGTATTATATATGTTAAGACATTCGTATGTCCATTCAAGTAACTACTAGCTTCAATGGCTGAATAAATATAGTCGAGATTGATGTTAGTGATGTCTGTATTAGTTTGTGAGTATAGGTGTTATCTTGTATTTACATTATGTTAAGTTTGATGGATGAGGTTACTAAAAATTAACATTGCTGTGTACTAGCCATTTAAATAAACAATCTTGGAGCATCAGTCGATGGAGTTAATATATATATTGTATTATTATATTAATATTTTTAGCCAAAGCATTACTTTTCGCACTGTGAATTTACATCAATTACCAATTACTCGCTAAATTGTGTTTTTCAGGTTAACTGTCAATAAAGGGGCACGAATCGCAACATCACATTTTAGGCGATGACAGAAATTAATGCCAGTCTGTCGGTCCAAGACAGACTTATCTTGTGTAGCACCGATAGTTTTGAAAACCTATTGCCGATACAAACATCATACCTTGAAGCTGCAGTTTTGTAGAGATAACTGGTTCTTCTAGTATCGACAGGCATGGACAAATTATGAAAATATATTCTACGCCACTGGAGGGCAGGCATTCATAGGGATAACCCCGAAAGGGACATTCGATTTATAAACGAACCTTAAAAATGGAGCTTACATTTTACCCCTAACAACCGGTTGGTTACTGTTCAGGGTCTATCTGGTGTAGCGAATTGTTAATGTTCCCAAGGACGCCTTAAACATGGCAAGAAAACCTACCAAATAAAACAGAAAAGGAGGACGTAGATGACAAATTAAATACCAAGTTTGCCAAGTATGATGGAAAATTAACAGAACTTTCCTGGACAGTTACTCAAATTTAATTGACAAAAATATCGGCGCATGCGCATATATTGTCGTGGCCCTCCAAAACATGAGTTACTAGTACTTCATAAAGAGTATATTCACCTTACTAATAGTTTAATAATGCCAGAATCACCCACATGAGAAGTTATTCAATTAATTTGAATTAAATACAAATAATTTATGAAAATTATACTTTCTTTGGTGGGCTGGAAAAAGTCACACTTTAATGAGTTTTCAGCTTGACATCTCAAGTACCACTCAACACATTTTAATGAAACTGACATAAACATGGGTTTTCTGAGATATTGTGACAATAGGTTTCAATTATATGTTGAAACAAAAACCCGATTATTAACTACTTAATTTGCAAGATGTGCAATATATACCTAGTTTTACCTAGTATTACAAAAATGTTCGACATACAAAAAATAACAAACCCCAGACAAAATGTGACACCCCTATAATATATATACATTCCAATGTCGGTATGTATGTGTCTTCTATAAATGTTTGAAACTTGTGTTACTGAATGGGGTCATAATTGATAGGTGTCAAAAAGATCAAATGTCAAATACACTTATTATGTCATGAACATAAGACGAATAACCGTCATATCAATGAGTAAATTGGACCGGCAATTGCAACCACCTAATACAATCCAGAACATAATACAACCCAATGTACTCATTCAAAAAAGGCTGAAATCAGGGAAAGTTACAGAAGTTTCTTGTTATGACATGTTCATGCAAACACAGTTAAAGTTGTGGTCATATGAGAACGCACTCGTTTAACATTTCAGAGTTATGAGGCCAGTCTGCTGGTTTTGAAATTTTGGTTATTATATATTGTATATTACAGTAACAAAATTCAAAAGGCGATTAATGATTGGAAACTTCTACTACATAACCTGGATTTAGACGACATAGACAGATATGCAAATAATCTGGTCAAGGATGGCACAACAGTCGACGAATTCGTCACAATGTTACAGGAAAATGGTCGTAAAGAAATGAAGTCATATTTGACTAATTTGGGCATCAGTCCTTTAGACAGAACATCTATAATACGTTGTATTGATGTAAGTTATTATTACCTTTGTATTCTGTTTTACACATGTATATCACTTAAATCTGTAGTTCTCATTAGAACGAAATGTAGATTTGATTTCCGTTCGTATGTTCGGAGCAATGGAACATATGCAGTGTTTTTACAACTTCCATTTAAAGCTTGTTCTAATTAATCTGTGCGCGCATGTGCCTGGCCATCGGACATGATGTAAGTGCATGATGTTTTGCAGATCTGATTAAAATGCGGCATTCGGTTGATTAAACTAGGGCTATATCTCGGACATGGCGGTGGATTCCATTCAGTCATAAGCCTTACATTTTTAAGATAGATTTACACGTGCATTTGTTTTGTTGTTTGATTTATCCAGTCTGACTGGTTATTAGAACATCAACATTCCTCCATTCTGGAACTGAATCACAGCTATGTATAGTTGGGTTTAGTTGAAACTTTAAGTTACATTTAACACTGGAATCAATCAATCTCGAGTTATTAAATTAATACCATATTCATCATTCATCATATTTCACATATGTAATTGCTTCATGGTTCAATTCAAGATTTCCAAATAAATCAAGCTGAAATATCATCAAAATATTTTTATTTTTACCATTCCATATCCAGATTTCATTCATGCATGGACATTATTGTTTTTCAAACTTGGTGCCTACATTGAACAAAATTATTAGTTCCAGAACCAGCTATGAAACTCTCAATTTAGCTTGGTTTCTTGCTTTCTTCTTTTCTTTAGCACATGCACAGTTCATGTTTAATTCATAATGTCCTCGCTTGGCATAGGTTTTCTAAAATGGCCTGAGTTGGAAAAATTCTGTTTATCGTCTTCAAATATATATTTAGCTGCAATTGTCAAATTATTATATCAAAATGTACCTATCATAATATATAAGACATGACCAACTGCATTGTAGATGTGATATATATATGGGCGACAGTGCAGTAGGTAACGTATTCGCCTCTCACCAGGGAGGTTAGGGAACCAACTTCATTGTAGATGTGATATATATGGCCGATGGTGCAGTGGGTAGCGTCTTCGCCTCGCACAACGGAGGTTCTGGGATCAACTCCATTGTAGATGTGATATATATGGGTGATGGTGCAGTGGATAGTGTCTTCGCCTCGCACCACGGAAATTCTGGAATCAACTCCATTGTAGATGTGATATATATGGGCGATGGTACAGTGGGTAACGTCTTCGTCTCACATCAGCGTGGTTCTGTGATCAACTCCATTGTAGATGTGATATATATGGGAGACAGTGCAGTAGGTAGTGTCTACGCTCGTACCAGGGAGGTTTGGGGATCAACTCCATTGTAGATGTGATATATTTGGCCGATGGTGCAGTGGTTAGTGTCTTCACCTCGCAGTAGGGAGGTTCGGAGATCAACTCCATTGTAGATGTGATATATTTGGCCGATGGTGCAGTGGTTAGTGTCTTCACCTCGCAGTAGAGAGGTTCGGAGATCAACTCCATTGTAGATGTGATATATTTGGCCGATGGTGCAGTGGTTAGTGTCTTCACCTCGTACCAGGGAGGTTCGGAGATCAACTCCATTGTAGATGTGATATATTTGGCCGATGGTGCAGTGGTTAGTGTCTTCACCTCGTACCAGGGAAGTTCAGGGATCAACTCCATTTTAGATGTGATATATGTGGGCCACAGTGTAGTGGGTAGCGTCTTTGCCTCCCATCAGGAAGGTTTGGAGATCAGCTCCATAGTAGATATGATATATATGGGCGATGGTACAGTGGGTAGCGTCTTCGGCTCACATCAGGGATGTTCTGTGATCAACTTCATTGTAGATGTGATATATACGGGCGATATTGGAGTGGATAGCATCTTCACCACACATCAGGGAGGTTCTGGTATCAACTCCATTGTAAATATGATATAATGGATAATGGTGCTTAGCGTCTTCGCCTTGCACAAGAGAGGTTATGGGATCAACTCCATTGTAAATGTGATATATATGGGCGATGGTGCAGTGAGTAGCATGTTCGCATCGCAGCACGGAGGTTCTGTGATCAGTTCCTTTGTAGATGTCATATATTTGGGCTATGGTGTAATGGGTAGCGTCTTCGCTTCGCACCAGGTTGTTCGGAGATTAACTCCATTGTAGATGTGATTTATATGGGCGATGGTACAGTGGGTAGCGTATTCGCCTCCCACAAGGAAGGTTTTTGGATCAACTCCATTGTGATTATAATATATATGGACAATGGTGCAGTGGGTAGAGTCTTCGCCTTGCACAAGAGAGGTTCGGGGAACAATTCCATTTTAGGTATTGTATATATGAGCGATGGTGTAGTGTGTAGTATATCCAAATACTGCCTTGTTAGTGTTTTAATTTTGCTTTTTGTCCTCTAGATTTTTCCACATAATACTCACATGAGAACAATCAGAACAATGTGTCAAACAAAGCTTACACATGTTCATTTAATCAACAATGGAGTGCAGTAGTTTATGTTTTGATACATATTTATGTCTTATTCACAGAAAATTGTACAAGATGCTGAAGAAAGCAAAGTAAGTATAATAAATATCTATCAATTCCGACTGTTCATTCAACCAAAAGGTAAAAACGATACACACCATGTCTCACCTTGAATAAGCCTTTGCGCAGCCTGAGTGGAGTAGTTTATGTTTTTATACATATTTATGTCTTATTCACAGGAAATTGTACAAGATGCTCCTGAAGTAAGCGAAGTAAGTATAATAAATAATGAACAATTCCGACTGTTCATTCAACCAAAAGTTAAAAACGGTACACATCATGTCTCACATTGAGCAGCCTGAGACCATAGTACATGTCCTATTGACAGACTATAT